TGCTACAGCTTTTTCTGGGGCCTGCTGCTAGCTCTGGGAGAATGAAAGGGGAACTCTGGAAGGGTGAGTGGAGGCAGCCAGGCTTGTGGCTTGTTTCTTTGTCTTCATCCCTGCCCAGGTCACTGAGATCAGCTGCAGCTCATCCTGCCCACTCCTGCAGGATTCTCACAGAACCTGCCTGCTCTTCCCAGCTGAAGGGAGTGCCCCCAGCCACCTGATTCCTCCCCTCTCTCAGCCTCGCAGAGAGCTCCAGCAAGCTTCCGGCTTCTTCTCTGGTCCATTTCAGCTCTTCTTCCCACCTTCCCACTTTCCTCCCACTCGCCCACCTTCAGATGTTTCAATGTGCAAATCTCTCAGACAGGTTTGTCATTGGGCTGGGAATCCTTTGTTGAATTGTAGCTATTCAAATATTTGAAACTTCAAGGGGAGAGACCAAGGAAATCTCTCATGCTGCCATTCCTCTGATGTCACGTCCAACATTGGTATTTTGATGTGGAATACATTAAATTGATACGTTACTTTGGGTAACGTATGGACCCTTTAATGATGTTAGTTTTTTCCATGGTATATGTTTTATTTATTTCTATCTTCCTCCATTTCTTTCTACTATGTCTCAGTTTTCTGAGTACAGGTGTTTTACCCTCTTAGTTACATTTATTGCTAGGCATATTTTTATGCAATTTAAATGGGGTTGTTTTCTTGGTTTCCTTTCCTGGCACTTCATTACTGGTGTGTAAAAATGCGACTGAATTCTCAATATTAATTTGTATCCTGCTATTTTACTGACTGTATCAGTGCTAATAGGTATTTGGTGGAATTTTGAGGGTTCTTTCTACATTGTATAATGCCATCTACAAATAATAACAGTTTTACTTTTTTGCAGTTTGGGTGCTTTTTATTTATTTTTATTCGCTGATTGCTGTGGCTAAGACTTCCAATACTACATTGGGTAAAATGTGGTGGAAGTGTACATCCATGTGTGGTTTCTGATCCTAAGGGGTATAATGATAACTGTGAGTTTGTCATATGTGGCCTTTATTAAGTAGAGGTATGTTAGCTCTATTCCCACTTTGCTGAGAATTTTAATCACATATGGAAGCTGGATTTTATCACATGCTTTTTTTTTTTAATCTGTGGATATGATCATATGATTTTTAGCCTTCAATTTGTTTGTGGTGTGTCACATTAATTGCATTGCAGATATTGAACCAACCTTGCATACCAGGAATAAACCCCAGTTAAGCATGGTGTACAGTCTTTTTAATGCATTGCCTAATTCAGTTTGTTCATATTTTTTTAAGCATGTTTGCATCTATGTTCACGAGGAATATTAGCCCATAATTATTTTTGTGGTATATTTTTCATTAGAGTAATGGTGGCCTCATAAAATGAGCCTGAGAAACTTCCCTTCTGTTGAATTTTCCAGAATAATTTGAGAATGACAGGTGTTAATTCTTATTTGACTGTGCCAAAATTAATCTGCAAAGTCATCCAGTCAAGACTTTTGTTTGTTGGAAGTTTTTTTTTTTTTTTTTTTTTAATTATTACTGCTTCAATTTCATTAGTAGTAATCAGTAAACACGTGTGCAGACCCTAGTTTAAGAGGATTTCCAACAGCCTTTCATCTCACCTGGGTGGACAGAATAACTACTGATTTTCACAGCTGCGAGTTGTGGGGGCTCCTCTGTTACTCTGGGCTTGGAGCCAATGTGGGGCTGGGACTCCTCGGACCTCTGCAGCCAAGATATCTCTCTCAAAGCTCAACTGCTGCACTTGAGGATTGAGCCAGCTCATCTCTGCCCTCCTACCAGTCTCTATGTAGCTTCTTCTTTATATCCTTAGTTATAGGGCCTCTCTACAGCTAGTCTCCCAATTTTTCTCCAAGTTGATTGTTCTATAATTTAGAAATTATTTTGATGTGCTCATAGGACCTACCTTGCCATTTTGACCAGAACTCAGTACCATATTGTTGTGTGTGTTTTTGTTTATTTTTTTTGGAGGGGGTTGTTTTGTTAAAAAATATTTTTATTGATTTCAGAGAGGAAGAAAAAGGGAGAGAGAATAGAAGCATCAATGATGAGAGAGAATCATTTATTGGCTACCTCCTGCATGCTCTCCACTGGGGATCGAGCCTGCAAACCAGGCATGTGCTCTTGACTGGAATCTAGCTTTGGACCCTCCCATGGGGAGCAGGCCTAACCTGCAGTCTGGCCACCCTCTGTGGGAGGTGACCGGGCTGATCAAGAGAAGGCACCAGCCCCATTACCCTGCTGCTGCAGCCACTGCCAGTCACCACAACCACCAAGGTGTTTTCATCAACACTGACTCCAGTCCCTTTACTGTGAAAAAAAATGACAACTTTCTTTACGCATTTTCAAGATGTGTCTTTCATAGGATATAACATTTCTTTCTTTTTTCTTTTTTTATATATTTTTTTATCCTCACCTGAGGATATGTTTCCATTGAATTTTAGAGAGTGTTGAAGAGAGAGGGAGAAACATCAATGTGAGAGGGACACGTTGATTGATTGCCACCTGAATGAGCCCTGACCTGGGCCCTGTCCAGGGAGGAGCCTGTAACTTATGTACATGCCCTTGATCTGAATCGAACCTGGACCCTGTGTTTGGCAGGTCGAGGCTCTATCCACTGAGCCAAACCAGCTAGGGCAGGATATGACATTTCTTAGCCCTCCAGCAGCAGATCTTCGTTTTTTCCTCCAGGAGTGAGGTGGAAAAACCCTAGATCATTTTCTTGGATTCTTGTAACCCAAGTTACCAAGAACACTGCAAGTGGTGGTATACAGGGAGCTTAGCCAATGAATGGTCAGAAAAGGTGTTTACACTTGAATTGGTTTGGCTCAGTGGATAGAGTGTCGGCCTACAGACTGAAGGGTCCCAGGTTTGATTCCTGTTAGGGGCATGTACCTTGGTTGGAGGCACATCCCCAGTGGGGAGTGTGTAGGAGGCAGCCAATCGATATTTTTTTCTCATTGATTTTTCCAACTGTCTATCCCTTTTCTCTCTTCTCTGTAAAAAAATCAATAAAATATAGTTAAAGAAAAGAAAAAAAAAGATATTTCACACATCCTGCGTTGTGTCCACTGGACTAGGGGCATGTCCCCACCAACTGGGGGTGGGGAGGGTAGGGAGACATGCTCCCAAGGCCAGAGCCAGCCCCATGTCCTGGGTACCAGGCTGGGGGGGTGTGCTGGAACCACAGCAGCCATGACACAAGGATGTTTCAGCCCTGACCCCAGCCACTTGGTGCCTGCACCCATAGGCCTGGAGTGGCCAGGTGGCGTTCTGGGACCCCTGCTTCCCAGGGTGTAAGCATGGATCTATAGGCCAGGGGAGGCCTGGGTCCTGAGGATGTTCCTGGACCCAGGCTGCTCAGTGTCTGCAAATGCAAATTAACCATCATTTTTGTTGGGTTAATTTGCATACTTGCTCTGATTGGCTGGTGCGCATAGCAGAAGGACAATCAATTTGCATGCTTCTCTTTTATTAGTGTAGATATATATATATTAGAGGCCTGGTGCATGAATTTGTGCATGGACAGTGTGGCCTGTCTGCTGGTCGAATTCTTGGTCAAGGGGACAATTTGCATATTAGCCTTTTATTATATAGGATATGCACCGAGTGGCCAGATTATTTTATTATGTGTTCAGAGAGCATAATAATCTGGCCATTCAGTGTATGTTAGATATTGGCCTGCAGTTTTATTTTCTTATGATGTCTTTATCTAATTTTGTTTTCAGGATGATGGTGGCCTCATAGAATTTAGATAATTTTCCTTCCTCTCCTAATTTATGGAGAATTTTACAAAAATTAGTGTTCATTTTTTCATAAATGGCTGGTAAGAATTTACCAATGAAGCCATCAGTTATGGGCTTTTTATTTGGGGTAGCTTTTAATTAATGGTTCAATTCATTTACCAGTTATAGGCATGTTCTAATTTTCTATATCTTATTAATTTCATTTGGGTAGTTTGTATGTCTCTAGTAATTTCTTCATTTCATCCAGGTGATCTAACTTGTTGAATAATCGTTCATGATATTCTCTTATGATCCTTTGTAAATCCACATGATATATATGCCATCATTATGTACACAAAATATTATGTGTTATACTATTATCATGTTTACTAAATATATATATAGTTTGGTGCATGGATTTGTGCACTGGTGGGGTCCCTCAGTGTGGCCTGTGGGGATTGGTCTGAAACCAGCAGCTCCTGCCTGCGGCTCCTGCTGATGATACAAGGATCCCAGTCCCATTGCACCTGCTGTGGGCTCACACGCAGTCAGTCGCAATCAGGAGAGGCTCGTGCCGCCATAGCAGTGAACCCTGCATTTGGTGCCTGTAGGTCAGCTGAGCTGCCACTCCCTTTGTGGGAGTGCACTGACCTTTATTGAGCATCTGTGCTCTGATGGTCAGTGCGTGTCATAATGACCAGTCAACCAGTCATTCAGTCATCTGGTTGTCTGGTAGCTTAGGCTTTTATATATATATATAATATAAAATATAAAATATAAAATATAAAATATAAAATATAAAATATAAAATATATAATATATAATATATAATATATAATATATAATATAATATATAATATATAATATATAATATATAATATATAATATATAATATATAATATATAATATAATATATAATATATAATATATAATATATAATATATAATATATAATATATAATATATAATATATAATATATAATATATAATATATAATATATAATATATAATATATAATATATAATATATAATATATAATATATAATATATAATATAATATAATATAATATAATATAATATATAATATACAATATACAATATACAATATACAATATATAATATATATTATATAAACATGTAATACATTTATATAATATATTAATCATATATAACAGGTTATTATAGCAACCGTTGCAGATTCAATTACTAATCTAACAACCCCAAAATATAACTTCCAAAATTCATAGAACTGTCTTTGAAGATAAAGAAACAAGGAGACAGGAAGATCACCTTGAGTGTTAAACAGGCAAAGATGATACTGGATTGGGATGCAGTACAGGAATCTGGTGATTCAGGTAAGGCTGAGATGGGGAGAAGTTCACTGAGGTTTCACAGTGGGGCAAGATACCCAAGAGTGAGACAAATGGAGAATTGAAGTTTAAAGAAAAGTGTGGGCTATGGTGGGATCCACAAGAAAAGAGTCTACCTGAAGAAGGGGTCATGTCTGACATCTTAGCTCAAGATGTCAACCATGGTCTTTTCCTATAGGTCTGTCTACGGTGGGCCTTTTGTCCACCCCAGGAATGAGCAAGTTGATGGCTGAAGCCCCCCTAGTTCTACAAGCTGAGGAGCAGCAAGTTCTTCATGAGACACACAAGGGCCTGTTGCAGGAAGTCTCCCCCGTCTTGCTCTCAGATGTCATCTCTGTCTTTGTGAGCAATAATAACACCCAGAACCTAAGTTCCCCTGTCACCTTCATCTTCAAACATGTGAGTCCTGCTGGGATGGGGCTATAGATATAAAATCATCCTGATAGCTGGGAATAGACTTGAGGTTCTGGGGGCTCTCCCATGGGTGCATCATCTCCCCAGGACAGCCCATCACAAGCAGGATTTGGGTCAGCATTTCTGAGCACTAGAAACACCAGCTCACACCTTGCCCTGTTCCTACAGGCAGTGGCCCCAGAGCCACAACAGAAGCTTTTCTGTGTCTTCTGGGAGTCTGGCCAGAATGGAAGTCATTGGTCCACCAAAGGCTGCTGGAGGGTGGGCACCAGAGATGCCAGCACCACCTGCCAATGCAGCCACCTCAGCAGCTTTGCCGTCCTCATGGCCCACTATGATGTGCAGGTAAGAGCCCTAAAAGGGGTTGAATTCAATGTCTATTGCTGTGTAGTAAATCCCCACAAATGTAGTGTCTTTAAAAAGACATACACACACAGGGATTCGTTATCCTGCAGAATCCTGAGGTCAGCAATCTGGCATGGCATACCTCGTGGTCTGCTCATGGTCTCACAAGACTAAAATGATTGTGTGAACCAAGCCTGTAATCTCATCTGAGTTGTGCAGTTCCCCAAACTCCCTGGTTGCAGACAGAATTCAGTTCCTTGCAATTGTAGGACTGATTTCTCACTTTCTTGCCAGCTGGCAGTAGAGGAGCACACTCAGCTCCTAGGGGCTTCCTGCATTCTTTCTCGTGTACCCCTCCCAAGGCCTCTCACAGGAAGCCAGCAGGAGAATTGCCCTCACATTAAAACACCCTCAAACTTTGAATCAGTTAAGGGCTCATTTGATTAGGTCTGATCCACACAAGATAAATCCCTCTCTTCAAGTTAGTTGACTGTGGACCTGCAAAATGCCTTCCCAGGAGCATCTAGATGGCATTTGACTAAAAATCTAAAGGCATTTATATGTGCACATGCCAGTGGGGTTATGATTGCTAAACTAGAATTTTGCCTTTCATGGGGGATTTCAGGACAGGGCTCTAAGGGGCTTCAGAAAAGAAGATTTGGGGATGACAAAGCTCAGAGGTACCCGGGGATCCAGTGAGTATAAGCTGTCTCTGCCTCTTCTTCTGTCCAGTTGATCTGGTTACTTCTCTGCTCCACCAAAACCAGAAACTTGCTCACGTAACTTCAGGTAATGGAGCATTTACTGAAATAAATGTGGCACCCACATGAAAAGGATAATAGCTAAGTGGCCAGGTCTCATAGAAGCCTCCAGAAGTGTGAACAACACTCCAAGAACACATTCCCTCTGTCCACCTTGCTAGGTAACACGATATTCATACTTTTATTTACATACTCCTTTACATTTGTTGAAGACTTAAAATATTTACACTTCAAATTCAAACAGAATAAGAGAGAAACCAGACACTTAGTTCCTCATGCCTCAACCGGTTAAAGCTGTTAGTTTCTCCTGCATTTTTCTTTGGATATTTTATACATATAGGGTCAGGTAAAAGTAGGTCTACAGTTGTTTGTATGGAAAATAATACAATAATTAACAAATAATAGTACATGAATAAACTCTGTTTTTCACATACTCACAACTGTAGATCTACTTTTGCTTCACCCTGCGTAAAAATAATGCATGTATTGGTTCCTTGGATTTTTCTTTTCTCAAAGACTTGGTGGAGTGTGTGTATGTGTGTGTGTGTGTGTGTGTGTTTTCGCTGTTGTGCAAATTGTGTTTTATTTATTGCATCTATCGATAGGAGAATTTTCTATTCTAGGCTACAAAAAGACACTTCATCATTTTTATTGCCACACAGCATTTCATTTTGTGAATGCTCCATAAATTACACATCAAGACCTCTTATAGTGGGTTTTGTTTTGATCATTTGCTAATACATAATGTTACAATTGTTTACACACACTTCCTTCTTCTCATGTGATAACCTATAAGCTTAGTCATGCCCAAAAGTATAAAGAAAAATAAACTCTATGCCTGGCTCAGGTGGCTCAGTTGGTTGGATGTTGTCTGGTGCACCAAAAGGTTGCTGGTTCGATTCCTGATCAGGGCACATGCCTGGGATGCAGGCTCTATCCCCATAGGGACTGTGCAGGAGGTGACTGATGTTTCCTCTCATATCAGTGTTTCTCTCTTTATCACCCTCTCCCTTTCTTTATCTCTAAAATTCAATAAAAATATTTTGTTTTTATTGATTTCAGAGAGGAAAGAAAAGGGAGATAGTAACATCAATGATGAGAGAGAATCATCAATCATCTGCCTCCTGCACACCTCCCTACTGGGGATTGAGCCAAACCAGACATGTTCCCTGACTGGGAATCAAACCATGATCTCCTGGTCCATGGGTCAACACTCAACCACTCACCAACACCAACTGGAAAATTTTTCTTCAGTGACATTCTTTTTTGTTGTTAATCCTCACCTGAAGCTATTTTTCAATTTTTAGAGAGTGGAAGGGGAAGAATGAGATAAAGAGAGAGAAAGAAACATCGATTTGAAAGAGACACATTGACTGGTTGCCTTTGCATACCCAACCAGGGTTAGGGATCAGGCCTGCAACCGAGGTATGTGCCCTTGACCAGAATCAAACCTGGGACCCTTCAGTTCACAGGCCAACGCTCTTTCCACTGAGCCAAACTGACTAGGGCAAAAATATTTTAAAATAAACCCTTGAGTTCCAGGACTTGATCTTGAGTAAGGTCTCTTCTATCCCTCAATTCTTCCAGGGTCTGAATTAATCCACTCAGGACCCATAAAACTCTAAGATTACCTACAAACCTCACAAATTTAGGTGGCTCCTCCATTCCTGATTTTGTTACATCCAAAAATAAAACTAAATATGGTGGGAGAGTCATTAACCCAGCTCAGGAAAGTATAGCTGATATCTCCTCTTTGCTGGGTCCCAGAAGGAGGATCCTGCCCTGGCTGTGATTACCTCCCTGGGGCTGAGCCTCTCTCTGCTGTGCCTCCTCCTGGCGGCCCTCACCTTCCTGCTGTGCAAAGCCATCCAGAACACCAGCACCTCACTCCAACTGCAGCTCTCGCTCTGCCTCTTCCTGGCCCACCTGCTCTTCCTCACAGCCATCGACAAAACAGAGAACAAGGTATTGACACTGTCCCAAAGAACACCGGTCCTCCCTGTGGAATGTGGAGTTCATGTCGCCATGCTGCATTGAACATCTTAACATAATGGCCTTGTGTTTTAGGAATGTTGGAGGGGTGAGTAGCCAATTTCACAATGACTGGCCCAACCCCCCTTTTTTTTGACATTTCCTTCATATACATCAGAGTTCCCCCCAAAAAGTATAGGAGAGGTCTTGGGTCCACACTTCACCAGACAATCCCACCTGGTGATTCTCCCCCCCCCCACCCCAGGTACTGTGCGCGGTCATCGCGGGTGCCTTACACTATCTCTACCTGGCCTCCTTCACCTGGATGCTGCTGGAAGGCCTGCACCTCTTCCTCACCGCTCGCAACCTGACGGTGGTCAACTACTCCAACGTGAGCAGGTTCATGAAGAAGTTCATGCTTCCTGTGGGCTACGGAGCCCCGGCTGTGATTGTGGTCATTTCCACGGCTTCCAGGCCTCACCTTTATGGGACACCTGCCCGGTAAATTAAAGTTCCCACTGTCTTCATCTTCTCCACATGACCATGGTCAGCAGAGAATCAATGTAGCACTTTAATTTCACTAGAATATGATAGGTATAGAAAAATAGTAATAACCACCCATAGACATCTTCCTGGTTCCATGATTGTATTCCTTGAAATGATTGTTTTTTTAAGAATTTAAAATTTCATTGTTTCAAATGTTAATTATATAGTATATAATTATATGTTTATATGATATTAATTGTGCATTACATTCATTACTTATACTTTTATAATAATGAAACATTAACAACCCTGAATTAATACATAGTTAAAATAAATAAGCTGATTTTTCTCTTTTAATTATTTTAAATATTAATTATAATTAAACTAGAGGCCTGGTGCACAAAATTCGTACATGGTTAGGGGGGAAGGTCCTTCAGCCCAGCCTGTACCCTCTCCAATCTGAGATCCCTCTCACAATCCAAGACCACTGGCTCTTAACCACTTACCTGCCTGCCTGTCTAATGCCCCTAACTGCTCCCCTGCCTGATCACCCCTAACCACCTCTGCCTGACAGCCTGGTCACCCCCAAAGTACATATGATGGGTCCCTCAGCCTGGCCTGTGCCTCTCGTAGTCCAGGAGTCCTTGAGGGATGTTGGGGTTGGGGGGCCCGCAAGCCTAAGCCAGCAGTCAGACATCCTTAGCTCTGCTACGGAGGCCTGCAGGGACCAGTTAGGTATCAATCAGGCTGGCAGGGGAGTTGTTAGGGGCAATCAGGAAGGCATGCAGGCAAATAGTTGGAGGCCAGCAGTCCTGGATTGTGAGAGGAATGTCCCAGTTTGGAGAGGGTGTAGGCTGGGCTGAGGGACATACCCCTGTGCATGAATTTCATGCACCGGGCCTCTAGCATTAATATAATATTCATTACACTAATTTAGGGGACTGCTTTAAATATTCTAGGAAGCAAAATGGGAATGAAGGGATGACATTGGTTGGTGTAACCTACTTCTCTCCTTAATTATAAAAAAAAGGGGGGGGGAGTGTTATTTAGATGATGAAATTGTGATGGCTAGAGCTAAGAGTTAGAAATCACTTTGGACATGCAATTTATATTCCCAAGATTTTTCATGTTTCAGCTTAGGTCGTTCTCCCAACAACCCACTTAGGTAGAACAGGTATTATAGGAGTTTTACAGGTAAGGAAATTGAGATACAGAGATGGCTGACATGGTCCAAATCACACAGATGGTTGCTGGCAGAACTGGGATCAAATATAGACAATCCAGCATTTACAACATACTTCTATGTTGATATAATTAATGTTCACCATCATCAGAGTAGCCCTGGTCAGATGGCCTTCCTATATAGCTTGCAAAAAGTCAGCAAACTGTAAAGGGCTGCAACTTTGCAGACCATGTACTCTCTGTTGCAACTATTCACCTCTGTTCTTGTAGCACATGAGCTGCTATAGGCAATATGCAAGAGAATGAGTATAATTGTGTACCTGCAAAGCACCTTTACAAAATCAGGTGGCGACCCCATTTGACCCACATGGTGCCGTTTGCCAACATTGTCTTAGTAGGGTTGGCTTTGATACTTCTGGTGAGTCTAGCTAATTTCATGGTACTCGCACCTCCCAACTCATTCATAAATATCTCACTTGGGATCATTTCTAGTTCTATCATTTCTATCAGTATGGCCTTGATTTACTATGTTTCCTTAAGCATTAGATATCAACCTGTGATCACCTGAGTCTCAATGTTGTCATGAGGAATAAATTATGTAATGCTCATGAGCCCTACCTTAGTACTGTTATCAGGTTACTGTCATCATCTTTTTTTACTATCTTGCAAGTTCCCAATTTTTTTCACCTTCTATACACCTGCTCATCCATTCATATCTCACAATAAATACAATCAGTTCTCTCAGGGAACCCTTCTCAACTACCTAACTTTCTTATACCACAGATGAGGAAAGCTGTCTAGCTCTGTGTTCTCATAGCTCCTCACACTTGACCATAAAACTCATCATCTTGATTGTCTCTATTGTCTAATTAGTGACCTTCCCTGAGGACTGGGACCAGACTATCTCAATTGCAGCTGGGTCTTCAGGTCAAGCAGAGATCCTGATACAGAGGAGAGACAATATTTTCTCAATAAACCATAACTTAATTTACTTATTTATATTTATCTTTTCATGTAAAACTGTTTATTTTCTTCTGCCAGCATACCTGACAGACACTTTTAAAATAAATTTATCTTTTCAAAAACCACATTATTATGGCATGATTGATCTATACAATGCTATTGATAGTTAAGGTCCATAACCTGATGAGTTTGAATTTAACTATACAACCAGGACCAGCATCACCATCAAGGGCATGCAAAAAGTTTCAGTTATGAAAGAGTAATAAGATAAGAAGATCTATTAAAGTCTATGGCCTAATTAACAATCGTGTATTGTATTGTATACTTAAAATTTAGTAAGAGGATAGATCTTAGCTTAAAGGTTCTTATAAAAAAGAAACAATATTAGCAATAGGAGGAAGAAGAAACTATGGATGGTGAAGGATATGTCTACCAAGTCTTTTCCACAAAGGCAAATAGATTCTTCAGTCTCTTTCCATCTCTCTTTTAGATGCTGGCTCAGCACACAAAAGGGATTTATATGGACCTTTCTTGGCCCCGTCTGCATCGTCTTCTCTGTGAGTAAAGGATGACATGAGAGCATGCTTCCTGCCCAGCTGAGGGTCTATCAAAGAATAGATGGGTAAGGGGGGTTACAGGCAGGATGAGAAATTCTTAAAGTTTGCCCAGGACTGAGGAGGCGTATAGGAGGCAAAATTTCTGTTTTAAAACCAGGATAAAGGGATTTCCTGAGACATATCACTTTCAGTGCTAAAATGTGGAGATTGCCATAAAAACTGGGACTAGTTGATCACCCCAGTTCCAGGACAAGTATAAGCCTGAGTTACTGGATGTTTGAATACTTTTTCTATGACTGCTATGAAATACTGGCTGAGTGAGGTATTGGATGAGCCAGGAGGAAGGTATATAGATGTGGAATATATTCAATATGCCTTGTGGGGTTTCCGCAGATTAACTTGGTCTTCTTTCTGATGACGATCTGGATTCTGAAAACCAAGCTCTCCTCACTCAACAGGGATGTGTCCACCCTCCAGAACACGAGGTGAGAGGGATCAGTAGGACACATTACCCCATACAAAGCATGGTCCAGGAGCAATATGCCATGGTTCCAAGCTCCTGGTGTCCTTTCATGGGGATTCTGAGAGGTCAGGGGAAAAGTGCAGCCACCCTCTCTGGAAACCAGCTCAGATACTGTGGTTTGCTGCTGATACCGTAGTCAAAAACATTGTTTCTCCATTAACTCCAGCATGAAATTACCTCAGCCACAGAGAAAATTGACTTTGTTCTGTTAAACATGAATTACTTCCATGGTCCATGAAGGTCTCAGAACATTTTCATCTTTATAGAACACTTAGGAAATCACATAACTATTCCCAGAACCCAGCATGCACATTCATGCCCACATCTTCATGGATGTTCTTCCCTCTGCCCTCTCCACTCCTACACCTGAGAAAATCAGGTTCTCTACCCACATATCACATTTTGAGAAAGTCTAGGGGCATCCTTTGCTTTCCTAAACTTAGTATAGAATAAATGGCCTCTATTCTAGAAAAACCAGGCTCACCCTCAGTTCATGGAGAATGGAAATATAGAAATATTGTTGGATGGGACCTGTGCAGAGATACCTCACACATAATAAATATTATGTGACTGTTTTCATCTTTCCATGAGACTATAAGGTTTGTGAAAACAGAAATTATCTGTTATTTAAAAAATATATATTTTAATTTATTTTTTACAGGAAGGGTGAGGGATAGAGAGCTAGAAATATCTATGAGAGAGAAACATCTACCACTGCCTCCTGCTCACCTCCTACTGGGGATGTGCATGCAGCCAATGTACATACTCTTGACCAGAATCGAACCTGGGACCTTTCAGTTCACTCTATACACTGAGCCAAACCATTTTCGACAATCTGTGTATTTTAAAAAATATATATTTTGTTGATTTTGTACAGAGAGAAACAGAGAGAGAGATAGAGAATTAGACACATCGATGAGAGAGAGTCATCGATCAGTTGCCTCCTGCATACCCCCTACTGGGGATATGCCCGCAACCAAGGTACATGCCCTTGACCGGAATCGAACCCGGGTCCCTTTAGTCCCCAAGCCGGCGCTCTATCTGTTGAGCTAAACCGGTTTTGGCAATCTGTGTTATTTTTAATACCCAACACCAAGCACAGAGAATCAAGTACACAGAAATTCTCCAGTAATCTCAGTTGAATGAAATTAGGGATATTCATGAAACATCATGACCTTTTTGAAGTCCACATTATGAATTATCACTACAGCAGAACCTCGATCCTTGAACTTAATTTATTCTGAAAGGTTGTTGGAGAAGCAGTGTCTTGGAAAACAAAATCGATTTTTCCTGTTAGAAATAATGTAAACTGATTAATTTGTTCCAGACCCCCCAAATGGCTCTATTTTAACCTTCCTGTATACAGTACATGTCTAGTGCACTGTTTAATCTATAAACAAACACTTTTTTTCCCTTAAATTTATCGAACTGCTCCCTGCTAGCCTTAAACTAATCATGTTTAGCACTTGTTCAAGGGGATCTCTCTAGAAGTCAGTATGCAGCATCTTCACTTTTTCACATTTCATTGCCTCTGAAATGCTGTCACTGACTAACTGCTTTTCCTTTATCCAAATTAATAATAATTTTTCTACCTCTTGAATTGCCTTTATTGTTTCATGAGTTCTGGCACACCCTTACCAACACTTCCCCCCCCCCCTTTTTTAAATTAAATTATTATCTGTGTACATATCTTACCATTGACACCCCCCCCCCCCATTCCCATACATGCCCTCCCTCCTCAGTTTTGTGTCCATTGGTTGTACTTATATGCATGCATACATCAGCACTCTTGATGGCCTCTTCATGTTTTAAAACTGTGCTAATTATCCATTTCACTACAACAAAAGTAAATAAATAAATAAGTAAATAAATAATCCACAGCACAATTTCTTGAGATGTTAACAAGGCAAGGTTTAGCTATAAACTGACTTGTATTGGCACATTCTCTCCTTTGTTTGTGGTCTGAGAGACACTTTTTGTCATAATGATGTATCAGCATGAAATGGTTATTAGGTCAAGAACTGAAGTTAACCAGGACACCCCCCTTCCCCCCATGAACAACCTGGTTAAGAACCAAATGGTTCAAGATGGGAGATGTTCACTCAAAGTCAAAATGACATGATAAACTCTGATAGCATTTCTTTCAGAGAATCATTGAGAGTAGTTATCAAAGTTGATCACAACTCAGTCATACATCCCTGGGATAGAGATGAGGATGACCTTAATTCTGTTGCTCTGGGTGCACTACGGACCTCTCTTTTCCTCCCTCCCAGGATGCTGACATTTAAAGCGATGGCTCAGCTCTTCATCTTGGGCTGCACGTGGTGTCTGGGAATCCTGCAGGTGGGTCCAGCTGCTCGTGCTATGTCCTATCTCTTCACCATCATCAACAGCCTGCAGGGCGTCTTCATCTTCCTGGTGTACTGCCTCCTCAGCCAGCAGGTACTATTGTCTGCTTCCATCCAGGATTTTCCACTCTCAGTCCTCTCAGTGAGCTGACTCAGAGCATGCTTTGGTTCTGTAGGTCCGGGAGCAATACAGGAAATGTTTGAAAGGGATAAAGGAAACTAAAGCCGACTCTGAGAAGTACACACTCTCCAGCAGGGCTATGTCTGAAGTCTCCAAACACAATGTGGTAAGATCGCACAGTGCTCCCAGAGCACTTCACTAGCTGATCCACTTGAGTAGCTCATGCCCATCACAATGGACAACCTGACATATAGCCGGTTATGCCCTAGGATGGCTCTCACTGGGTTTACTTGTGGACTCATCCCAAGGCATTTCCATGTCAACAATAGAGGTGTTCCTGTACTGCCACTCACTGTGTTGATGTATTCACATTGACCTTGCCCATGATTCTCTTCTCCTGTGTGTAGAGCACTCACTTTGTGAGACATGGTGCATGTGGTTTTTAATTTTACTTAGTGAAAAGATACAAAATATTTCCTCATAAGTAAAGAGAGAAGCTATGGTTGATCAGCTCAACAAGCATGAACTAATGGGGCTGTGAAGCTGTGATGCTCAAACTGCACAGTCACAGCACCATCCTTTATCCCAATTCACTGCATGCTACCCTCTGTGTAAAGTACAATAAATGCATGGCATATATAGTTATAAAACAAGTGTTAAAATAAGTGTTAGGCTCAATTTGAGACTTTCCCTGAGAATCTACTATAGTTCCTGGAATTTCCTACACATACAAATAATGCAAAGCCGGGAAGGAGATTCACAAAAGGCTGAGGAGGGATCCCTAAAATAGCAATGAACATAGATATATTCTGGTTTATAAAATTTTGTCTTGTGATTTTTGTTCACATGTTCTTCACATCAGCTCTTGAAGATAAGTATTATTATGTTCTCATTTGGTAGGTAAAGAAAATGATACTCATAAGTTCTATATGGATTGTGCGAGGTTTTCAAACAATTCACTTTTTCTCCCAAGTTTCATGGACCCAGCATGCTGCCTCCCAAGCCTTATGCATATTTATCATCCACTTGTTTGTCCAAATCTCTACAACTAATCCTTCCCAAATTCTCCATTCATCAAGAATCTCATTATTCTAATTCTTTCCTTTCTAGCAGATGTTTCTATCAGTTTCTTCCATAGCAAATCAAGTATGCAGGATGAAACAAGGTCAACTTTGTGCTCTCAAAAACACAAGGCATTGGACATCTGGTTCATTCTCTTCTCATTCCATCTCATTACCACAGACAAAAATGTGCTTCTGACTTTTTTAGGCTAGTCCTTCTATTGCATTTTGGTTCCCAACACTCTTGACAGCTCCAAAACTTTACATTACTGTGCATTCATTCTCTCTCTGGATCTTGCACAGTCTCACTTTCTTAACAGCATCATTGCAACCACATTCATTGCCAACTTGCTAAATTTCTCTTATTAAAAATTATTAAAGTTATACATTTGATCCCTCCCTCTTCTTCCTCAAACGCCCAAAACTGGTATGTACCTCCATCGTTTCACCAAACAGCTATCACTTAAGCCTCCAATAACCTTCATCTCACTGGATGAAATAAATATTTTTGGGTCCTCTTAGTACTATTGGGTGTTGTGGTTACTGCCTCCATCATGAAACTTCTCTTTTGTTCCTGATTCCTAGATCTCAACATCCCTGGCATTCTTTCTAACTTTCTGGCTGAACTGTCTTCCTCTTCTTTAGATTTCATTTAGTCTACCCAGTTTTGTCTTTTCAATTTTTTTTCTCCCATTCTTATGGTTGTTTTTTTTCCTTCACACTCTTGATCCAATTGATGCATAGTTTTGTTTTGTTTTTTACTTTGTGGGAGTGAAATTTATCAATTTTTTTGTTTACTTGTGCTTTAGGTATCGTATTTAAAAAAGAATTGACTAACACCCATAAGAATTATACATGTTTTCTTTCAAAAAATTTATAGTTTTAATTATTACATTAAGTATATGGTTTAGAATTTATTTTTAATAATTTGAGTTTTTTTACAGTGTGACATACACATTCTTTTACATGTGGATATCCAATTTTCCCAACACCATTTATTGAAAAGATTGTTTTTTCCATCGGTGAATTAATCTGATATCCTTGTCAAAAGCAATTCACAATAAATATAAGGTTTTATTTTTGTACACTTAATTCTTTTCTATCATCTACCTTGATTACTATAGTTTGTAGGAAATTTTAAATTGGGAAATTGACTCCACAAATTTCTTCTTCTTTATCAAGATTGTTTTAGCAGTTCTGGACCTTTTAAAGACCCATATAAATTTTAAGCTGTGTTTGTCAATTTATGAGAAAAATTTAACTGAGATATTGATAAGCATTTTGTTGAATCTATAGAGGTTCTGCATTCTTAACTCATAAGAATTCTGATCCATGAACATGCAATATTTTTTCATTTCTTTAGGTTGTTTGTCTTCTTTTGACAATCTTTCATAGTTTTCAGAGTACACATCTTGCACTTTTTAATACAGTATCATTTTTATCCCTTCCATCTCAGGAGAATGAAATTAACAACTAAACCAGATGATCCTGTCCCCTGGAAAATGAGGAAAACACTGAACTGTCATCCTTTGGGCAAAGAAAACAGAAAATACTTTTTGTGTCTGTTACAAGTAACTCTTCATGGCACCATTATGGGAGAAAGTATACAGGAAATGTTTGACATTCATTTACTAGAGAAGTGGGGGCTTCTGGTCCACACAGCATGCTCAGCTCAATCCCAGCACAGTCAAGGAGCTAACACCCAATTCTTCATTTGTCTTGGGTTAAACCCTCCACTTCAACCTATTTTTCTACAAAAATGTTCCTCAAGTTTATATAACAAGGAAAACAATCACCAAATGCCTATCTTATAATGACATAAAAGAGTAATGTTCAAATACCTATATTTGTCCTCCCTACCTACATGCCTTGACTTCACTCTTCATTTCTAAAGACTTACTAATTTTTCATTTAAAAATATTTCTCTTACTCACCATATGCTGTACACAGATCAAGACAAATCCAGTTCCTGGTTTTACAAAGCTTATATGTAAAGAAAATGTTAGAGTAAATAGTTTCTACATACTTACATTTTATAAATTTGAGTTGTGTGCAAGGTGTGTATTGCTACAGTATATTGTGTAGTTATATTTATATATATTATTTCATATAGGCAAAACCCAATCCAGAGCAATTTCACTTGGAAGAAACTCCCTATGGATTTCCACAGACCACTTTTGTATAATTTGAACATATGGGAAATGCCTAAAAATGGGCATAACATTAAAAACACCCATGAGTCCATAGTGATACCTAAAACTACCTGCTAGTAATTGTAAAAGACGAGATAAAATTAGAAAATCATGATTTTGCAATATCAAATAAGTGGCCACTGAAATGAAATGTAAAAGGCTGTTGGAGGACAGGCTAGTCAGTCCCACACTGCCAAAAATACCACCTCATATATTATTGATTAATTGCAAGTGCCAAAGTGCCATTTACAATAGGGAGATCTTATAGTCACCATATAACCTTAATGATCAGCTTAACATTGTCAATAGTGGGCAATCTAACATTATCTTCTGTTAAGACATGACTTTACAACATCCTATGTGTGTAAATAAAGAATTATTGACAAATCAGTCTAACCAAAATCTAATCCAGCGTTTCAATCAAGGGTTGGGAAACTATAATATGCAGGCTAAATCCAGGCATCTGCCTGCTTTTATAAATAAAATTTATTATGTGCCATAACATTCTAGGAATATTATGTATTATATACTTTTAGATTTAGGTCTTTACAATTTAATAGTAAACCCATATTGATATTCTTATTTGATTGTATTTTGTGTCTTGTTTCAGTTAGTGTTTAATTCTCCATTCAATTCTGGGTACTATTGTTATTTGAAACTACTCATATTAACCTGGTTTCATTATCTCTTCTTTTTTTCCCCTTCTCATTTTATCACTGTTTACATTCTTAGTTTTGTCTTGGTATAAGTGCACATCTATTTATACCTTTGTGAAAAATCCAAAGGTGAGTAAAGCAGGTGAAATGTGTGCTCTTTTGATCATGCAGTATGACAGTGAGGGTAGAGAATAGTGAAATAAATGTGTGTTTAAAATATTGTCCTCAGGAAGAATTATATGAACAAAGATATTCAGTATAAAGAGATAGTACTGTCATGGTGTGGCAGGATTTATAAGGCATGGTATGGGGAGATTTTGCATGCAAAATGAAGACCAGACCAGGACCAGAATGTGCCCACAGGGTGTATCAAAAAAGATGAAAACCAAAAGCCCCAAAATAACACAGGAAAGATGCCACATAAGAAAAGGGAGAAAGGGATTGACTTCATACCCTATCAGACCACATAAAAACAAATTGGTCAAGTGACTATGAATTGGTACAGAAAACAACTCTTCTACTGCTTGATAACAAAAATCCAACTCTTTTTACACTTTCATTGTATGGGGTGTTGTGTTATTCCTTTAATCATTATAAAGGGGTACAATAAGGAAAACAATTTTGTCTTTTAGACAAGCTTATTCTTGTTTACTTATTTTACTGAAATATGGAATGTGTTAAGAGTTTAAATACTGCCAGACCCAAGTATATTTATCTTCCTCACCATCCCTCCAGGATCTCCTGAGTTTATTATATATCTATTTCATTATTTTCTCCATGATCGCTCTATTCTTTCCATTAATTGAACAGATTTCTTTATGTTTTACTACAGTGTTTCCCAAAGTGTGGTACGTGTACCCCCAGGGGTACAGGAAGAGTTTGGTGGGAATATGCATTGCACCGTAGTTTGATGGGGATATGCACTACAGCATACTTAGCTGTGCCTAATTCTACGTTCTCATGAATACGAGGGGTACTCAGCATTACGAAAATTATAGAAGAGGTACACATATGTCAAAAGTTTGGGAAACACTGTTTCACTAAATACAGAGCAGAAAATGGCTATCCCAGTATGGAACTCTAAGTTTATTTGTCTATGGAAGGTTTAATATTTGGATTTC